ACATAGGCGAGGGGTCGCCGACTCGCCTGAGCTGAGCCGTGTACCCAGTACTAGATATTATAGGTATTATAAAAGTATTATAGAATATTATAGGTATTATAGAGTATTATAAGTATTATAGTCTATTACAGGATATTATAATTAAAACGGCATTAGAGCTAGTATTATAGGGTATTACAAGGTACTATACAGAATGACAGGCAAATTTTGGAACCTAGAAGTTCCACTAACACTCCAAAAGTGCTCTCAATTCCTCAAGATTCATATAGTTGACTACTCAAGGCATAACATCACAATCACAGTTAAGCCCCTAGTTTCAAACATGTTGTTTCTGGTTATTTTTATGAGCCAAAACGATTCAAGTAATGAAAACTAGGTAATAATTATGTAGGTAGGTTCTTCTTTAAAACAAATCATACAGAAAAAAAGGTCCGTAAACTTTTGGTTTGTAAAGGAACGACACTTTTCATACTTGACTCATTTGTCCCAATTATCACTTAACGCGCATGATTTCAGAAGCTAGGATAATGATAAAACCTTTTTGCGTAACTTCTAAAATATTTGGAGGGCATGTCATTTGGGCTGAACCAATGAAAACAGTAGAAAATTATTATTTAAAACAAGAAAAGAATTGTGGAGAATTTAACAAAAATGTTTTTATGTCTTCAATATGCTGCTATAAAATATTATAAGTATTATAAAATATTATAGGTTGTATACGGTACTATAAGGGCCGTGTACCCAGTATTATACGAGTCGGCGATCCCTCGCTTTTAGGTGTGTGAATATCTATTCGCACACTTGGAGGGCTAAAGGTGTGAATTTTTCTTAGAAAATTCGTACGTTTACCCTCTAAGTGTACCAATGGATATTCAAACACCTACCTACATGTGTGCGACATTCACACACTTGCGTTTCCAGTGGAGCTGCTCAAACCTCGGACTGACGTCGGAATAATGAAGGCAGGGGTCAGTACTGGGTGATTCTCAGAATACGGGTCATTCCGCGGACCTTCACAACTATGTGATATGGTTTTAAATGGGTTTTTTTGCCATCAAGATACTTGAAAGCACTAGCATTACCTGGTGCAACACTAAAGCGGGTCGTTGCATCTGCATCCCAATATTAGTAATGGTGCAATTAGTACCTTCTGACTTGTGAACTCCGTATCCCCTTTTAAAGGTCTGACCTTTGTTTAATAACTTTTGGGTACAGGTAACGCGTTGTAATGACCTAATGAGGAAATATGTAGTGAGGGTTAATTTAGAACTGTACATTCTGAGGTTTGGCATCTGTGGAGCAGTGTCGGGGCGAAAAACAAGTTATTTATTGCAATGTCGTCATACTAAAACGCATAAAATGGGGATGACTGGATGTAAAATTCATACAACACACTAGTGGAGAAAACAAAAGACCAATTTAAAGGTGCGGGAGGCAATATTTGAGTTTCATCATTGATTGAACGTGACCACAATATGGTCTTTTAACGTTGTACTAGAAGTACGTGATTTGAACT